ATATATTTGATATGTCAAATAAATTTTATATCTTATATATAGAATAGTTCTTTTAAAGGTTCAACCAAAGGCAAATCCAGTTAATTGGAATTTTTTTGTTCCTTAAGGATTCTTGCTGCTATTAGTAAGATTTAGAAAAACATAACAAATGTAAAACTAGTATATAATGAAACTGAATATCATTAAATTTACAAGTTATACATTTTTTCTATTTGTCAGACACTGATATGTACACACACACATATACATATACAGCAAGTGTTTACACAGCTTATCTTATTTATTTTTCCCAGTAACCCTGATAAATAAACTGAGATCAAGTTACTCTCTGTGGAGAACATTGTAATTGATGAAACTAAAATTCAAACTCAGATCTTCACAGTCTGTGCTTTTTCCATTCCACTCTTTTTTCTCTCTAAAAATTCTTAACACTTCTGAAATTTTGACTCAACTCAAATCATTAAAATCATCTGTTAGATTCAATTAGCAAATAGAGGCCAGACTAAGATCAGGCAACTAATATTATACCTGAATACTTATTATTATTTCTTCTTATTGTCTTTTATTTATAAAATAAAACGCTTATAGTATCACAGGTTAACACATGCCAGAGAGACTTAAGTCACCATTCAGGACCAAATAAAAATTTTCACTTTGTTTGTGATTTGAAAAGCTTCCGATGGATGCTAAGGCAGCTTATTAAAATCTCTTTGCCTATGGGTAAATTTTCTTCCCTGTTAAAAGCCTATTTCATCTGATACTGTTTGCTGAAATGATCTAATTTGCTATTGTTCTCTCTATCTGTTCCAAGCTCAATCCCAGGGACTACTAAAGAAACAACGCACAGGCACAACATCATACAACTTGAGCTAGACAACTCATTCATTGATGCTAACTTCTAGACATAGTGCTCTTATAGCCTTCCCAGAAATAGCTTTTAGCAAGCATAGCTACTGTCTAGCTGCCTGGACAAGTTGCATGATATTATCACTGATACTCACTACTTTATGTCAAATCTGTCCAGAATATAATGTTAAAAGAAATTTCAAGGAGACAGGATAATGGATCATAACCTGACCATTGTAATGTTTGGGAGCTACTAGTTCCATATTAACACTTGTTTAGAAAGTCTTTTTTAAAGGCCATATTTGCAAACATTTTGAATCCTCGAAACCAGTGTGTTGCACTTTTTTAGCACACCATTGGGCAGATAAATAAATCAGAGATCTTAATGCCATTGAAAGTTCTGGCTTTGGGTATTTTTTCCTAGTGAAGGCGGTTTAAGATCCTGGGTTTCTTGAAGCTTATGTTGATTATCAATCATCTACAATCGCTCATTTAGTACATGTATTACATTCTGGCACATGTTCAACAACACTTCATTGGAGCGCATAAAAATTGTATCGTTTTTGTAGAATTCAAAAAAGACTTTACCTACTTTTTTTTTTTTATAGCTAAAAACTGATTTCCAAGATTCTGTGGGGGAATCCATGAGAATTGTTCTCACATGTTGATTACACAGCCCCAAGTAATTTTCATTACATCAAGTAAGTAAATGGTATTTAACAAATATGGCAAATAATATCTTTTACTATTTATAACACTGTTATTGATTAAGAGAGTAGCTCTGAAACCAACCAATAAAGCAGCCTACACATTACATAATAAAAGAATAGTTAAGTAAATTGAGTATTGCCACATAAAGATATGCTTATGGGGCAAAAAAGTTGAAGTTCATGAAAATATTGGCATAATAAGGAGAA